TTTCTCACTCATCTCTCTCTCTCACCACTCATCTCCTCTACCACCTTTACCACTACTGCAAACGCCATTTCACTACCACCACTACTACCACGCCATAAAGGCCATATATCAATAGGACTATCAAATGTCATTAACTAAGGCCATCAACTCTAGCCATTAGGACTAGAGTTACAAAGGTTGAAAAGCCATGGCCACTAATATGGTCATCAACTCTATCATCAAAAGATGAGAGTTACAAATCTTATATTTCTCATGTGTTTAATATGTACAAATAAATATGTATCACTACAAGAAAAGTGGGTATATGAGACGAAACTATTTGCGACGGCACACTTGCCGTTTCAAAAAGTCACTTTTTGCGACGGCAAAAAATGTCGTCTCAAAAAACCAGAGTATTTGCGACGGCACCATTTGCCATCTCAAAAAACAGAGCATTTGCGACGGCACAATTTGCCGTCTCAAAAAATGAGAGCATTTGCGACGATATTTTCTGCCGTCGCAAATGCTCTCATTTTTTGAGACGGCAAATTGTGTCGTTGCAAATGCTCTGCTTTTTTGAGATAGCAAATGGTGCCGTCGCAAATACTCTGCTTTTTTGAGACGGCATTTTCTGCTATCGCAAAAAGTGACTTTTTGAGACGCATGTGTGCCGTCGCAAATAGTTCCGTCTCATAAATTCACTTTTCTTGTAGTGATTCCAGTAGTAAGACTATTCTTTAATGACCGAAGGTCCAAATTTAAAATCTCACTTCTTCTATTTATCTAAATTTTTTTTTTGTTTCCTCTAGAAAATAGACACATGGCATAAGTAGAAGACTTTGATGCCAAATTCAACTTTCACTTAGTAACATAGATGGCTAGATAAGCCAATGTTCAACTTCTCTCTAGGATCCATGGTCGAATTCAATTGCTGAGGAACAAGTTGTTATGTACATTTATCGCATTGGGCAAAACTAAAAGCATAATGATCAAAAGTTTTTTTAATTTTTTTTAATTTATTTATTTTTGTCAAAGATATGTATATATAATTGTATTTATTTAATTATAGTAGCCATGATACATAAATAGACCGTCGTCCCTTAGCAAAGGACTAACTAGCCAAGAATGGGGCACATCTCCCAGCCAGAGATGCCCTCTGCACGCAAACCCCTTGTCATAGAAGGTTAATATTATAAATTGATTACCTATAGAATTAATTGAAATATAAGAAAAAAATATTTAATTTATTAAAACATCTATCTATATTATTATTATTAAGTGAATGCTTAAATTGGTTTAGTGAATTTTTTTTTCTTCTCATGTCACGTGGCAACTTTATATATGCTAAAATAAAAAAAATTATTTGAAGAACTCAAGATTTTAGGTTTCATTAAGAATATACTTATCATTTAAGTAACATATATATTATGATATTAAATTATTTATTATTTATTTTTATTATTAGTTATCTGAATTGCACACGCATCATATATGTGCCATCTACTAGTAAGTAATAAAAGAAAAATTTATGGAAAAAAAATGCCCCTTATATCAATGATTATGAATGATAATGACAATAATAATAATAATAATAATAATAATAAAAAAAAAACTTGAAACCCCCAAAATTTCACCACTAAATTTCTTTTAGTGAGTGTAACATGTTTAGTTTAATTCATATAAAAATTACACTTTTATGACACAATTTCTGTCACGCTAATATGAATAAGTTTTAAAATGATATGTTAGAGGCTTTAGCAAATTGTACAAATATGTCACCTAAGTTGATAAACTAAATGTAATATAAAATCATGATAAATATAAGTTATTATAAATTTGTAGTAAAATTTATATAATAGTATTACATACTAAATTATTCAAATTTTGGGAATTGTTTAGGTTTGCAAGTTGGCGAGGAGTCTAAAATATTTGGAGTGCTGGCACTCCGTTTAGATAGAAAGGTTTGGTGAAAAAAGAAAAGAAATTGTGAGAATAGAAAATTCAATCCCTTGTTTGAATGGTTAAATGAGTGAAAAATTGTAAGAAATTATGAGAGATGGTAAGAAAAAGGATTCTCACAAAATCTGTCTTATTTCTCATTAAAAGTGATAAGATTTAGTGAGAAAATAATTGGGTTTAATAAAAGATTTTTAAAATACCAAAATTACCCTTATAAAAAAACAAAACTTATTAAAATGGAAGATTATTTTGATAAAATAAAATACAACATTTTTTTATTTTCTATTATTTATTCTATTCAAACAAAATAAGTGAAAAATTACTCTTTTTTCTTTTATTCAATCAAATATAATAATAATAAAAATAATGGGCAAATTACATATATCCCTCGAGGTTTAACAAAATTACAAATACCTCCTGAAGTTTGAAAAATTACAGATATCTCCTTGAAGGTACTATTTGCATTACAAATTAGGGGGCAAATTGTTATGAAAATATAAACCTCAAGGGACAACTTATTATGAAAATATAAACCTCAAGGGAGTATTTATAATTTCTGAAACTTCAAGAAGATATCTGTAATTTAACTAAATCTCAAGAGAGGTATATGTAATTTGCCTTAATAATAAATCATAATTAATTTTTCCTTTTCTTTTCTTTTTCACCTAAGTGAGAATCATAATCATTCTTTTCTCACCTTCTCACCATAGTCGATTGACTTCCAAATTTCAGATTAGTCGATTGACTTCCTATTTCCAAAGAGTTATGATAGGACCAAACAAATTACTAAATTTTTTATCAAACCTCTTACATGGATGCGAGATCCACACACATTTGATTTGTATGCCACACCCATGTGAGTTTGTGTGAATCCCACTGAAAGATTTGATAAAAAATTTAATAATTTGTTTGGAATCCATAATATTTTCCATTTCCAAATGCCCAAACACCATCCAACACGTCGGTGATTAGTCGATTGACTTCCAATTTCCAAATGCCCAAACACCATCCAACACGTCAGTGATTAGTCGATAGACTTCCAATTTCCAAATGCCCAAACACCATCCAACACGTCAGTGATTAGGTCGGTAAAGGACAGCGGTCCATTTAGGCCAAAAATATCAATCATTTTTTTTTTAATCAATAAACTATTTAAAAATATTTTAGAATTCTAATTTGTATGTTTTAATGACTCCAATATATATATATATATATATAGAAAATGTCTCGTAACTCAAATTTTGTGGCTTAAAAGTGGCTCAAATGGCCAAAACGACGTCGTTTTGGCCATTTTTATGTTGTTCTGTACTAAAAACGACGTCGTTTTGACCATTTGAGCCACTTTTAAGTCACAAAATTTGAGTTACGTAGCATTGTCGTATATATATATATATATGGAGTCTACCTAATGTGATGTTTTGAGTTTTTTTTATTTATTTATTTTACTTTCTACACTAGAACTTAATCAAAATTTTAATTTTAGAAGAGCATATCATTGTTATAAAATATCAATCATTTTGATAAACTCTTTTTGAAGGCTAGAGGTCGCATTGGCTATACCAATAAAAATTTATTGTTTTATAATGTTGTCTTTTTAAATTTTAATCGCTTTTTATCCGTAGGTGTTCAAATTAATTTATACGCATAATCATTTTGATAAACTCTTTTTGAAGGCTAGAGGTCGCATTGGCTATACCAATAAAAATTTATTATTTTATAATGTTGTCTTTTTAAATTTTAATCTGTTTTTATCCGTGGGTGTTCAAATTAATTTATACGCATATTAATTAATTTTATGATCTTAAAATTAATGATCAAATAAATTAATATTTTATTTTGATAATTGGAATTGAAATCTTAACTTTAACTTCAAGTCTTGACTATTGAGCTAAATTATTAAATTTTTTTCTTATCAATTGGTGTCATTAAATAATTAAATTTAAAATCTAAACTATAACTCATCTAAATAATATATGATAGGTATTGCACTTGTAAATAATTTTTTATTATAATTATAAAGGTATGTTACAAATACATATCATTTGCTTAAAACACATATTATTCCTTATGGTTTTGAAAATTACAAATATTTTATGATCAGATTTTTTTATTTATCAAAATTAACAAAAAAAATAAAAATTTTAATTATTTTTCTATACAATAATAAAATTACTTAAATTGTTAATTGAAATATATTTCTGATATCATTAAAAATTATTAATTAACTTGATAATTTATTATAAAATAGTCATTTGTTATGTAATTAAAAACTTGAAGAGGCCAAATATAATTTTTAAAATTACAAAAAAAAGAAAATTATATTTTAAACGTTATAATTATTTCCCAATAGTTTTTCTCTCCTCAAACCAACTCCCCATTACCCATTAGCACCGTTTGGCTTTCCCGTATGTTGTGGGAGATGGAAGAGGGATTGGAATTGAGATGGAAGTGAGACCCATTAATATTATGTTTATTTTGGGAGATAAAGAAGGGATTGAGATAGGCCTCCAGATTAGGATGGACCATGGAGAAGGGATTGAGATGGAGGTAGGAGAATTGGTATTAGGGTCCGTTTATTTTCAGAGATAGAATAGAGAAAATTGATAGTGAGGGAATTGTAAGTGAAGAAATTAAGTAAAATTGTGTTTGTTTTGATGATAGTTGTTAGTGTGAAGATTGTTAAATTATTACCTTATAAAAGAAATATATTTTAGTCCTCCGACTTAGTATTTATTTTATTTTTTTACTCTTACATGTTGGGTATTTTTTTTGAACATTAATGTTTAATGTTTTTGTTTTTGTTGTTAAGTAAAAATCATAATTTTATTTGCTTTAATATTTCATTAAAAATTATTAATTAACTTGATAATTTATTATAAAAATAGTCATTTGTTATGTAATTAAAAACTTGAAGAGGCCAAATATAATTTTTAAAATTACAAAAAAAAGAAAATTATATTTTAAACGTTATAATTATTTCCCAATAGTTTTTCTCTCCTCAAACCAACTCCCCATTACCCATTAGCACCGTTTGGCTTTCCCGTATGTTGTGGGAGATGGAAGAGGGATTGGAATTGAGATGGAAGTGAGACCCATTAATATTATGTTTATTTTGGGAGATAAAGAAGGGATTGAGATAGGCCTCCAGATTAGGATGGACCATGGAGAAGGGATTGAGATGGAGGTAGGAGAATTGGTATTAGGGTCCGTTTATTTTCAGAGATAGAATAGAGAAAATTGATAGTGAGGAAATTGTAAGTGAAGAAATTAAGTAAAATTGTGTTTGTTTTGATGATAGTTATTAGTGTGGAGATTGTTAAATTATTACCTTATAAAAGAAATATATTTTAGTCCTCCGACTTAGTATTTATTTTATTTTTTTACTCTTACATGTTGGGCATTTTTTTTTAAACATTAATGTTTAATGTTTTTGTATTTGTTGTTAAGTAAAAATCATAATTTTATTTGTTTTAATATTTTATATTTCTTTTATAGGGTAATAATTTAACAATCCCTATACTAACAACTATCATCAAAATAAATATAATTTTAATTAATCTCCTCACTATCAATCTCCTCTATTCTACCTCTAAAAAGAAACGAGCCCAGAGATAGGTTGGATGAGATTGTTAGTAATGGTGTGTTTGGTTGGGGGATTTGGGAAGGGATTTGGAAAGGGAAAGGGAAAAGGTGTGTAAAACTATGTGAAATATAGGCATGATTTATTCACATTTCACCTACCTTTTCCATTTCCTTTTCCAAATCCCTCTCCAAATCCCTCAACCAAACACAGCATAAGGGAATTATTAGTGAGAAAACTGCTAATGAGGGGATTAAAAAAAATTATGTGTGTTTGATAAACAATGGACTAACAATAGTTTTTATATATTTTGAAAGATAGGAATAAGATTAATCATATAAAATTTTACAAATACCCTAGTTGCATTACAATCAAATTTGGATTTATACCAACTAATAAGTGCATCACATATTTTAGTATTACAAATATATTTCATAAATACATATATTTTTGGCACTATTTTATTTTTTAATATATATATTTTATTTTTTGGTATAAATATTATTATACTATTATATTTTTATATTAAATAATTTTGATATAAAGAATGGTGGAGTAAAAAATAATGAAATAATTAAAAAAAAAATGATAGAGAAAAGACCATACTAACCAAGCAGAGTAAATAAATTAGCTAGGATAATAGATAACAAAATAGTAAATCCCCCTCTAATTGTAAGGGATTATTTTTTTAATACCATCTCTCACAGAGGAATATAATCCCATTTATAGAATCCTATCAAAATCTCAAAATAATGTAAATTCTTTTCTTATTTTATAAACAAGCACAATATTAACAAGCTCAATATCTATCATAATCCAATCCTATAACCCATCACCTAAAACAAACAGATCCATCGTGTCGTGGATATGCAGAGCTACAAAGGTCGACAAAAACGTCTGACCCTCATCATCTTTGCTTAACCTTTACACGATAGGGGTTTAATGGGTGGTCACGAGTTCATGATAATGTAATGTGCATCCCCCCAATCATCAACGCCACACCACACTACACTGTTGTCATATTTAAGGAAAATTAGTGGAGCTCTAATTAGATCTACCATTAGTGATATGACAGTAACTCTTATTTATTGTCACAGTTTATATTATGCAATTATGCTAGAGACTACTAATTTGGTGGCTCTAAACCCACCACTAATGAGGTGGAAAAGTAAAAAAAAAAAACTAGACACAACACATACTGTGATAGTGGATGGGACCCACTGCCACATCCTTAGTGGAGCTCATTTTCTTTGTATTGTGTCTGTTTTTTTTTTTTTGGCTTTGCCACCTTGTTGGTGGTGAGTTTAGAGCCACTAAATTAGTGGTCTCTAGCACCACCGTCATATTTAATTGTACCTATCATTTTAATTTCAATTGAATCATTTCAAAATTTAAATTTTTATTACCGTAGGTCACTAATTTACATAAAAATAAATAAAAATAAAAATATTCAACTATGAAGTAAAAATATTCAACTTAAAAACAGTTGTCAAGCTGAGTTAAAATTATAATATTATTCAGTGTGTTTAATTTCAATTTTTTGAATTTATTTTTTTTTAAATTAAATTTTTTATTTTTCATTTTTTTTGATTTTTAGTTAATATTTTTATTTTTAAATACACCTTACTTAAATGTATCTAAAAAGTAAAATATTTATGAAAAAATATTTTAAAAAATTAATAAATACACAAAAATATGAAAAATATATTAAATTTTAGTTTTTTTTTATATTTTTGTATTTAATGAATTTTTTAAAGATTTTTTTCATAAAAACTATACTTTTTAAGTATATTTATGTTAGGTGTGTCTAAAAATTAAAAAAAAATTACTTAAAATATTTTAAAAATTTAGTGAAAACAAAAAAATATGAAAAATAAAAAAGTATAATTTCTGAAAAGTGAATTCTAGAAACCAAACAGTGTGTTTAGTTTTAGTTTTATGAATTCAGTTTTCTGAAAATTAAAAGTTTTTTATTTTTTGTATTTTTTTGTTTTTAATGAATATTTTTACAATTTCAAGCAATTCCTTTACTTTGTTAGATGCATCTTATTTAGATGCATCTAAATAGTAAAATATTTGTAAAAAAATATTTTAAAAAATTAATAAATACACAAAAATTGAAAATGTACTAAATTTTTGTTTTTTTTGTAATTTTGAGTTTTAAAAATATTTTTTTCACAAATATTATATTTTTTAAGCTTATGTGTGTTAGGTGTGTCTGAAAATTAAAAAAAGTTGTTTAAAATATTTAAAAATTTTAATGAAAACAAAAAAAATACGAAAAATAAAAAATTAGAATTTTTTGAAAAGTGAATTTTGAAAATTGGAATCAAACAGAGTGAACCATGCAGAGTGATGATTTTAGATAAGAATTATAGAGGACACTATCAAAATGTAGATGATTAGATTTGAATTTTGAACCTCATGACTTGAAAACACAGTAACACTCTACTATGAAGTTGATCTTGTAATTCTTCTCACGAACTTTCTTTTTAATTAATCTACTTTAAAAAATAAAAAAAAAGTACAAACTAGAAAAAATAAAATAAAATAAAATAAAACATATTAATAATATACAGTAGAAATTCAATTTAAAAATTTATAACCTGGTTGGATTTTGAGCGTATGAATTGAAAAGTGTATAATAATTTGCATAAAAATTATAATGGAATAAGATTTTAAGTGGTATAATTTGATTAGTTTAGGACAAATTTTAAAAGGATGTGTATCACATAGATCTATTATATTTTTGTGATAAATATTATATATTATTTTTAGTAGAGTTACAATAATTTATAATTAAGAAATGACATTACGCATTATGGGATGATGTTACAGATCTTTTTTTTCAAACATTTTCTAACCAAAATATATATAACATTACCACAAAATGCATAATCTCATTTCTGAATCACAAATTGTTGCAAGTTGTAGCCCTTAAAAAAAAAATTAACATTTATGTGTGATAAGGGTCATATGAGGGCTATTTTGACAATTGGCTAAAATAGGCAAGAAGTCCAAAAAATATGGAGGATTTGGTCAAACCCTCATAATAAAATTTTAATGTATTAAAAACAAATATAAAAAGTTTTTTTTTTTTTGAAAATTCTAATGCATACCACTATTACCAAAATATCTTTAATGAGTAATTTAATATTTTAAAATTTAAAATAATATAATTTTTTATCTAGATATCAATTTTTAATAAAATTAATATTTTTATAATATTCTCATCAATATTTATCAAATAAGACATAAGTGAATTTGACGTAAACATTAACATTTTAATCTGTTTCACAATAAAATTTTACAATCAATAGGCTTGCTTGGGAACAAGCTTATAAACTAGTTTATTGGCTTATTTGAGCCGCATTACCTCTCTATTTTTTTTTCACATTTTTTTGTAATAAACCAAAAAACCAACTTATAAGTCACTTCCCAAAACAAGCATAAATTAGGAAATATATCTTCACTACGAGTTCACAAACAAATCATACAACCAGAGTAACAGGGCGTTAAAAATAAAAATACAATGTACATGATTGAACAAACAACAATCAAACAAACAATTAATCAAAAATTCAACATACATGATCGAACTCAAACAACAATCAAACAATGATTGAATGAAATTTTAAATTTACAAAAAATCAATTTTTTTATTTTTATTTTTATTTTTTCATAGGCATTTTTTATAAAAAAAAAATCAATTAAAATAATTAATTCCAAAATAGGTGGTAGGCCATGTTTGATTTGGATTTCAGAAACTTGTTTCAAATTTTTTTTTTACAAAAACTGAAAATTATTTAGTGAAAAAAATAAAAAATAAAAAACATTTATCATTTTTATATAATTTATCCTTTTAAAGGTAAAAATAATTTTAAAATATTTTTATCAAATTAATTTCTATTTTTAAAAAAAAAAAATTCCGAAATTTTTTTCCAAGAATGAAACCAAATATATCTGACAATCATAAAAGATAAAATAAACTAAAATAGTTAAGAAGATAAAGTATCACATTTAATCTATAATCATTTTATTTTTTTCTCACAATCACCAAATTAACTATAAAAAAATAATTAACTTTTCAAACATAACTATTGTAATCAAATTAAAATAATTAAAAAGTCGAATAATCAACTACCATCAAGATAAAATGAGGCACATGATTAAAAAAATGCACTGCGAAGCACCCACACTTTAATTCCGTATATTAAAAAATCTCGGTGGTTCCCGCGAAGGACTCTGATCAAAACAACGCGCCTCCTGTCTGTCTCTCAGAGTCTCTCTCTCTTTCTTTCTGTGTGTGTGTTGGAGGGTTGTTTGGCGTTTGCGGTGTCCATAGGCGAAAATGGAGGCAGCGATGGGGTTGATGAGAAGAATACCTCCGAATCAAACAGAGACTGCGCTCTCTGCTCTGCTGAGTCTCATGCCCGAACATTCCTCAGATCTACTCTCTCAAGTCGATCAGCCTCTTCAGGTCCCAATCCTAATCCTCATTTCACTTCTCTCAATGCAATGCACAATCCATATGTGCGTGTATGTGAATATATATCAACATTCTTGTATATTCTGATTGTTTTAGTTTTTTTGCGAATATTGGAATTTTGATAAGTTTTCATATCGCCGTTTGATGTTGCCGCTTGTTATTGTCGAGATTTTAATTTCGAATACTACTTTCGCTTGCGTGAATTTTTTATTTTTTTTCAATTCGCCATTGATGTTGTTTGTTGTTATTGTTGGGGCTTTGAGTTCGTTGATGTTGGTTTTTCTTTTGAGCGATTTGTGTGGAAAACAATAATGGCTAGTTTTCAATTCGTTAGGGTTTCGAGATGTTTTACCTTGTGTTTAGTTTGATTGCATTCCATTTACTGTTAAAGATTATGTATTAGGCTTTCTAGGGTTTTGAATCTTTATTCAGCCTTTTGGATTTGTACATTGGTTTTGGAAGTATCCTACTCTCTGTTTGGCTTTGAGAAAACCGAGGAAAATAAAAGAAAATCTTCAAAGAGAATCCAAATTAGATAGAACACTCGTGTATCCATAATTTGCTATGCTTAGAACTGTAATTTCACAGCCCACTAGTCCTAATAACACCAAAATTACGTCCCACACTTCACATGATAAGGTTGTTCATCCACACAACCACTACTGCACGCCACACATTTGCACTTTAGTTTACAGAACCCACTTACTACCTATTAAACATAACTTTATATTATAACATTCCACAACCCAGATAATACTGCGTGCGTACCTATTAAAAGCACAGCAATACTAGTGTGACCAAATTTGAGTACCAAATTTTAGATACCAACTGATGCGTCACTAAGGTGGGGCTCGTTAGACCATAGCATTGGTGACAATGGTATCCAAATTTGGTCATCATATCATGGACTTAAGAGAGGCAGACAGACAATGTAGTTGATGTAGTTAAGTCTTGTTTGGCATAACCTATTTTAGTCCATCTTTTTATCTTTTTTAGGTCGCATCAATCAACATTTCCTCTCTACTTTTTTACATATCCTTTTATAAAAAATCAAAAAGTACACTTATTTAGGATATCTCAAACCACCCCTTAGTATTATTTTGTCTTCCCTTTTAGTAAGTTTTTAATTTTATGGTGCAAATTGCAATAAAAACTTCTTTCTATTAATTTGGGCTCGTTGTAGCAAATGCAGGGTCTATGATTGGCTCTTTGTGGATTGAAAGGATATTTTCTCCTCTCCCTTGTTATGTTCTCTTTGATTCTTTGTTGTTTATTAGGCACATGCTGTACCTTTCTCCATGTTCTTTTGTTGGGTTATCGCTGATTTTTTCTGACTCAATAGGTTGTACATATCTTGGTTTTTTGTTCCATATTTACCTATACTTGTCAGTTTGGCTTCCAGTTTGACTATTTCACAGTTGCACCTTTTCATGCTATTGTTTCCATTGATAGAAAGCATGTCTTCTGCCTATCGCATCATCCTGTCTGGTTACCTGCATATATATGCCAACACTCTCTACAAATTCATAGACCTTCCAGGCACCATATTTTCTTATAGCAGAACAAGGTTATTTTAATAAATGGAACCACACTTCTTGTTTTCTTATATATCTATACAGTGAAAGTGCCTCCAAGTTCTGACTATCGATATCAACATGTTGTGACTAGTTAGGCTTGGGTTATTTTGTTGGAAAAGAAAGTAGGCTTTGGGGTTTCATTGATTAGTACTACACCTCTGGTGCTGATAAGGTTGGGACTGTTGTTGTCCATCGTTCATTTGCTACACATATCATATGTATATCCTATGTTGTAACAACTTGTACAAACCTCAACATTTTTGTTGCTGCAACCTGTATTTATATTGCCATCTCTCTCTCTTTCTCTCTCTCTCTCTAGTGCGCTCTCGCAATGGGAATACAATGTCATGGAGTATGGCATACTGGATGCTGGTGTCTTTATCAATTTTTTGTTGCCAATAACAAAAATATTTCCATTTTAGTGAAGTTCTCATCTTTAATAAAATGACAACATATGCTTTCCAAAAAGTAAATAAATACACTGTCAACATGGTTTTATTTTGTGTGGATGTTTCATACTTCAGTTTGTCATGTTGATCCTTGATTTTCTATATTGTTCCTTTCATTTAATAATTTGGCAAGTTTCTTACAAACTGGGAAGGACAGGTTTTATGCGATGTGGATAGTGGAAAGGAGTTCATCTTGTGTGAATACAACAGAGATGCTGACTCCTATAGGTAAAATGCTCACCTCCTGAATAGCTGTAATTGAAATGAATTCCTTATAGCACGGTAAATTTATCTTGCCCAAATGGTTTTGGTTTACTGTCATTTTTATTGAAAAGTTAATTGAGATTGATCACTTGCATGTGCAAATACTCTTTCACATTGACATGATACTTCTTTAGTGAATGTTGGTCTGCTTGCACCATGATTTGCGACCTTTTATGTTAACTTCATGATCACAATCGTCAACAACTCAACTCATCTTGCTACTTATGGCTAGATATGGAGTTGTTAAATTATAGGCCATAACTGTTCTCTTATTTTATGTTAAATTGGAAACAATTTATTATTTATAATTTAATTGTATCTTATGATTGGTGATCCCAAATTTTTTAGATCGCCTTGGTCAAACAAATACCATCCAGCATTGGAAGATGGGCCTTGTCCTTCTCTGGAATTGAGGAAACTTGAGATTGAAGCAAATGAAGTCTTTGCAGTTTATCGTGACCAGTGAAGTCCTTTACTTACCTCATCTTCTGGTTTGTCATGTTTTTTCTTAAATTATTATGGCACAGAAGAAGAAGCTTTTTTTTTTTTTTTTTTTCTCGCCGTTTCTTTTTGTTCAGCATTCCCTCTTATTTTTTATTTTTAATCAGTTGAAACACAATCCAGAATGTGGATGCTAGATGGATTTTCTTTCTCAAGATAGCAAGTGATGTCAACTTAAAAGAGATGCGACCCAATGCTAATTATCTATTTTCTTTCAATTGCTTAATTATGTTTCTGAAGGATTACAAGCAAAGTGATTAACCAATAGTTTGGTAGGTATTATGAAGGTGGCATTTCATCCGTATACATGTGGGAAGATGAGAATGAAGGTTTTGTAGCTTGCTTCTTGATAAAGAAAGGTGATTTGTCTCTTTAAATCCACTGGTCAAAAGTGATGATCTTTCACTAACTTAAAATAATTTTTGATTATGAAGATGGCTCAAAGTCAGGACATGGAAGGAGAGGTTATCTGCAGGAGGGAGCATGGGATGCTATACACGTTATTGAGGTAGGCTCAAGACTCAGAAAGTAGAATATATGGATGTTGAACATAAAATTAAATAAATAAATAAATAATAATTAATGATATTGAAAATAAAATAAAATAAAAAATGAAATAGGATAAAACAAAGTCAACCCTCACTTTCTCCGATTTTGTCTCTTGAACAAAAGAAATTGAAGGAAAGAGTATACCATTCATACTTACTGTCATGTTGCAAACTTGCAATCCTTGACTTTTAGGTGGGTCCAGAGGAGGAAGGAATGGCTCATTACTGTTTAACGAGCACTGTCATGCTATCATTGACTACAAACAATGAGTCATCTGGCACATTCAATTTGTCAGGATCAATTAGAAGACAGGTAATTATACTGATGTAAATTATGGTTTATATTGTTACAGTTTGTTAAGTTACCAAATTTTCCCAAAAGAATGCTCTAACGGAGAGACTTAAACCCAAGACCTCCCTCAACTTGAGCTTGATACCATGTTAAGTTTTGTCCCAAAAGCTTTAGTTGTTAGCAAATGAGCCCAACAATGTATATCAAACTATGTAACACAATTAAACTGTTTAAATTTTTAAGACTTCATTAGAAGTTGAAGACAAGCCCAACTTAGAAAATTGTTACTTCGTGTTTCACACTGGTTACCTGTAATAGATTGAAAATGGATCACTAATTATCTCATTTGGTGGCTTCTTAGGTGTTAACTGGAGAAGTATATTGTCTACTAACTTAAAAAGGGAAAAAAAATATATATATATATATATATGAGCTGGTTTTCGCGTTGAAATTGTATTTCCAGCATTTGTGAGCCTTAGATTATGAGCAGATATGATATTGTAGAATCCAATTCTGTATTTTTGACACTTATTGAGCTAATGTGCAGTGAGTAGATTTTAAATACGAAAGTTGACAGCAACAATGGCTGTTCAAAGTCTGAGCCATCATATATGGCTTGCTTATCAATTATATTTTTTGTTAGGGGGAGGGGAAGACCTAAACAAACATTGGTATGTGGTATTCAAAAAGGATACGAATTTATTTAATTTAATTGAGCATATGGCTCCGGTCAAAGCACAATGGTGAAAAAAGATTCATGATGTTGACCCCACTTGATTGTCACACAAGGTTTAGTTTAGTTTGGCAAGAGATGAAATCTTGGTGAATGAGACTGTAAGTACAAGGGAAAGGATAAGAATCTTTTACTCAAAGAAAGAAAACTTTGAAATATAAAAGCAATGAAATTTGAAGACTATGTAAACATGATAGTTTGTAGTTGAGGGATTAGATAGAAGTGCTCCAAGTGACGGATGGCTGTAGCTTCTCTTTATTGCTAAATCATCAGCCTTTTGATGACTGAGAAGCTGCTCTCACCAGTTGGAAGATACCTTTATCCACTTAGGAACTTGGGAAACCTCATAACTTGAGTCCACTTAGGAACTTGGGAAACCTCATAACTTGAACTCAACAATTGGCTTACTCCAATCCTTTCTAGCTTCTGACCCATTGTCATGTTCTAAATCATACACCATCATGTCTATTTGAACTTCTGTTTATCACCCTTGTAGAATCCTTTTGTCTTTGTAGCAAACCCGAAATTGAATTTAACCATCAGCCTGCATTTAGTGTTCTTCATTGCATTTGATCAAGCCATATTCAAATATTTCATGTCACCTCATCCTTCGTGTCATCCTAAAACATCACTATATTTTACAGCAGTTTGAGGCATCTTAAGAAAATGTTTCCTCATCTACAAATTCCACTGAACTCCATTTCCTTTTACTGTTACAGGCAGACCTCCACTGGTTAAGCATTTGAATATGATTATACATCTTTATTGTTGGACGGTCAGATTTGGCAAAACTTACTATTATTGAAGTAATAGCTTAGAGCTAGTTTTTTATATTACTTTTCTTTGGAAAGGAAGCTGAATTCTTCATCTTCCTTTCATGTTCTACAGATGAATACGGATCTCTCAGTGGCAGATGGTCATCTGTGTAACATGGGAAAGATGATAGAAGAATTGGAGGGTAAACTGAGAAATTCACTAGATCAGGTAATTTGGTTTTCAATAATGACTTGGACTCCCTTTTTTTCCCACCCCCTTGACCCCCTCTTCACCTGATTGGCTACTTATTCTTTCTTTCTTTTTTTTTATTCCTTCTCCAATCACCACCCGCCACATGTCTGTGGGGGGTGGTGATTGGAGGGGGTCTCAATCATCACCCGTTGGTTTATATTGTAGCTGTTTTTAATTTCTATTATCCTCCTGCTGCATGGTGAACTATGAAATTTCTTAGTAGTGAAGTAGAAACAACTGTGCGGTTATGATTACCTAATCCTATCTTTGAGCCTTCGGATCTTGTTGCCTTGGGGTGTTTATGATGTAGAATTGCAAGTTTGAAGTGCATTTGTAATTATAGGTGTACTTTGGGAAGACAAAAGAGATGGTTTGCACATTGCGCCCACCAGCTGAACTGGTGGAAATGAGACTGCCTGACAGCTGATGGATTTGTATTTTGGCCTCATGTAGTGAAAGATGTATCTGTTGGCTTGTCTGTTGTTGTCTTCATCATTTTTGTGTGTAAGATTAGTGAAGATTATTTCTTGGATGCTTGCGTTGCAATATTTTATGATCATAGTGTAAGAAAAGTATACCAGTTTTGGATTTTAATGACTTTCAGAATATCCAGCTTCTCTTTATCTACCAACATGTTTTTATGTTAATGATGGAAATTACCAAGTCCACATCGTCAAAGGCTGTATCTACGTCTTCCGCTCTCACATGGGACCCACATGCAAGAGTGGGAGGTTCCCATTGGAATGTATGTATGGGTTGACGATATATTGCTGAAAATTTTAAGAGCGATGATAAATGTGGGATATATACAATGACAAATATGTTATGGTATTTCGGTATTTGAAACATGATATATTAGAAACATTTCATGTGAGGAAGAAGATTTTGTGAAGTTATGGAGAATTACAAATTGAAATTTTGATGCACACTTGGCACCATCTCATACGAGCTTTCAAATCAGCTATATTTTATTTGTACAAAATCACATTCACTTTTTTTTTTATCAGCAGTCCATCATATCTAAATAGCCTAACATAATGTTATAATACACTTAAGCAGTGGCTCTCAATGAATATGGTGGCGGCTCACCATAGCGTGTGCAGTTTGTCTGGGTTTTGAACAAGAGTGCTCATGGTTATTGCAGAGTGGCTCTTGATGAGTATGGTGGTGGCTTATGATGTAGCATGTGTGGTTAGCCTGATTTAGAGATAGGAGGACGGGATTAGAATTAAACGGGGGTGTGTACGATGTAGGATGGCAAAATGTCCTGATTTGTCGGGTTTCCAACTCCCACAATTCTAATAAGATGGGCTTCTAGGGGTGGTTGAATAGGGTGGGGTCAAATTTGGAATTTTTTTTGAAAAACCTGATTGGGTTTGGGGCGGGGATGGGGGAAGTATGTTCCAAATCCTACCCGATTCGCAAATATAGTAATAAATAAATAATAATATTACATATATATGTAATATGTGTATAATATATTGTTGAATTTTCATAGAATATATATAATATCTATTGAGTTTTTATTATGCTAGGTATATAATATAATTTTAATATATGTGCAATATATAATACATTTTTTTTAATTATAAATAGCATTTTCTAAGTTTAATTATTAAATTTTAATATTATTGTTAAATTTCTTATTGTGTTGCAGATCGAGTAGGGTCAAGAGTAAGGGTTATATTTGTGGGTTAGGGTTTGGGTGGGGGAGAGTTTTATGAGGGTCAGGTCGGGTCGGGGCTGTGGGCAAGTGGCGAAAATAAGAGTGAGGGTGGGGGTCTCCCGACTCATGCCCTACCCGTTGCCATCACTAATACGATGTATGATTTTGAGGCCAAATGTTTGGTTCACACTTGAGAAGAAGATTGTTGGAACATGGGTTTAAGTAAAATTTCACATTAGAAAGAAAGCAAACGAGGTGAGTCTTGATACACATTGGATATTATCTTCATTTATAACTGAGAAAATTTCATCTTTCCTTCTAAACTATACTTGACTAATCAATTTCACACTTGAACTTTTAATATTGTCAATTTATCCCCCCACCTATTTAAATCATGATCAATTTGTCCTTTACCATCACATTTAAACTGAAAAAGTTTAAAAAAATTACATTTTGACCTCAAATTTCAAATTATAGATCCAAATTCACCCATTCTCTTCTCCTCACCCAAACTACCGTCTCTCCTCTATCAACCAAACAACCATCACTACCACTACCATTGCCACGTCGGTGTATTGCCCCCGCCATCACCAACCATCATAAAAATTAAGAAAATTCATCAAAGAAAAGATATACTATGATTCACAAATAATCGTACATAATAATGAAACTCACTAATTTAGATTCAATAAATCCAAACAAACTAATTCAATTAAATTAATTTTTAAATTTATTTAATTGACACATATACATACATTCATGAACAAATTTTTTTTTTCTCTATATATATAGAAACCAAAATGATGCCTATGTCAAGCCACGGTTTCAAGTTGCCATTGTAGTGGATGACAGCAGCTCGCTCAATTTTCTTTTGGCTGAGATTTGGGTTGTAGCCAAGACGCAGGACCTGCCAAAACTGATCGAGGGAGTAAATGCGATTCCAAAATGTAACTAGACCAGGTGGCAGAGTCCCCAACTTCCACAGTTGTCTATCATGATTCTGCAGACAAAACAAGTCTGCTTCAGAAATTTAATCAAGATTACACAATTAAATTTGTTGATTATGATCTTTATGTTTTGCAGTCTATTCAAATGCATCTTTTGAACGTTTTATGTTTACTTTGTTAACTGTTGATAATGCATTTTGAAGAGGAATTGAATGTAGCTTCTGATAATTCAGTATTTTTACTTTTTTGTGCTTTGATTTTGAAAATTGCATGTTTTTTTTTTTTAGATAATGAAAAAATTGCATGTTTAACTGCTAAAGATTTGTGGATGTGAAAACGATGGGTCTGTTAGAAGAAATCTTTCTTTGTTATGTATATATCTAGAAAAGAAAAAAAAATTCCCGTATGTGTATATATATGCATCAATTAAGTAGATTGAAAATTAATTGAATTGAATTAGTGAGTTTCATTATTATTTATGATTTTTTGTGAATCAAAATATATCTTCTCTTTTGTAAGATAAATTGATAAAGAGAGAGAGAGCAAAATGAATAACTCTGTATTTCTGTGTATTATTACAAGAAGATGAACACTCTCTTTATAGAGAGGAGATGACAGCATAGGATGCTAAGTTAGGCACCGAAAGCAAGAAACATTACATAATATATAATATAAATGACAACTAGCTATGCTTTACTTTACAGCTTTTCTGTACACTAATAATACTAACAGCCCCCCTCAAACTCAAGGAGGATAGACACAAACCAACTTGAGGTTGGAAAGAGTAACAAAACAAGAAAATAAAATAGGATAGGAGACACTGTATGGTCGTGTCAGACCGTTGGTGAAGAGATGGTATGGTCATGTCGGACCGTTGTAGCAGGACAGTTTACGAGGTCATGCCAGACCGATGTAGAAGCTAACCGGAATTAATGTCGGGACAGTTTACGGGGTCATGCCGGACCGTTATAGAAGCTAACCGGAATTAATGTCGGGACAGTTTATGGGGTCATGCCGGACCGATGTAGAAGCTGACCGGAATCAATATCGGGACAGTTTACAGGGTTATGCCGGACTGTTGTAAAAGCTTGTGGTGGTGCACCAAGGGGGCGACTTAGGGAGTGCGCCATGGGGTGGCTTGGGTGGTTCCCATGGTGTGTAACCATGCTCACCATGACACATGATATATGTATAACTCCCCTTCAAATTCAAATAGGTGTAAAGATAGAAACCGATTTGAGGTTGAAACAAAGGGATTAAGAAAGTGGACTAAAACAGCTCAACACAGAGTGAAGATGTTTAAAAAAAAAAAATGATAAAAAGGGTTTTTTGTTTTTTTTTTTGTTTTTTTCTTTCGGTTGTGGTGTAAAATGGTGATCGGGGTTGATCCCGGCAAGAAGAAATGATAAGTTTATGGAATGAAAACGAGTTGGGTGTGAAATGATTTTTTTGTTTTTTTTTTAAAGAAGGAAGATAAAATAAAATAAATAAAAGGGTATAGTGGGATCAGACGGCGTGGTGTGAAAGTGGAGTGTTTGGGTAATATAGTATAATAAAAAGAGATAGATATATATATATAAAATAAAGAAAGTTGGGGAGAGTGGGAAGCATAATAATGAGTCTGAGCTCAACAAGGGGTGGATAAGATGTTGGGTCCATGGAGAGAGAGAGAGAGGGAAGCAGTGTGGGAGAGATGATTATATTTTAAAAAAGAAGAGATAAAAAAAATATAAAAAAAGAAATAAAGAAACAAATAAAGAAATCACAGACCACGTGCAAGGTGACAGTGGAGGTTGGCTCAAAATTGTTTCCAATTTCCCACCGGTTTGGTAGGAGCCCATGGTTTTCAAAATACAATGGCGGTGTGTGTATCTATGGAGGTGTAGTACCCACGTGCTACGCAATAGCAGTTTGTTAGTGCGTGTGAATTTTTATTTATTTTTTTTGTTTGTTTGTTTTTTTAAGTGAAATATCTTGGGGCATGTGGGTTGATTATTAAAGAGTTACCCTCCACGAGCTTGATCTGTAACGACAAAGAGCTTGTGATCAGGGTGGAAAATAAGTGAAAGAAGCTCTCCAAGTGTAGATAGATCACCAGCCACAAGCTCACTTCTTTTTTTTTTTTTTTTTTTAATTTGTTTTGGGAGAGCCCAGTCCTACAACATGGCAGAGAGACCCAACATACACACCCCGGAGAGAGAGAGAGACCATGCCCGAGGGAGGGGCTACGGAAGTGACTGAGATGGAGGAAGCTCCTCATTCTATGCCATGGTGGTCAATGCCAGAGAGCTCCGGCCTGCTTGAGGAGTGGGACAAGAGAGCCGTTGATGTGAGAGGCCATGACTCTGTCTATAGCTCCAACGAGTTTGCCACCGATGAAGACGACAGGGACGGCGGAGGAGGTTTCACGCTGGCCGGGAAGGACGAAGCAGGCGGCGAAGAGCTCGCCGGAGGAGGGATCTTCAAGGCGGATCTCGCAGCGATCGTTGCTGATCTCTGTGATGCGACTAGGGCCATTCGATGTGAGTTTCGAGCTAGAAGAGCCATGGAGGTTGGTTGAACTTGCAGAGAGAGAGAGGAGTAATCAGTCTCTCTTGTGTGTGTGTGTATGCTGTATGAGTGTGGGGGTATGGTAGGAAAGGTTGATGCCGAGAGGGAATATTGAGCGTGTGTGTGATCCCGGTGCTTTGCCTCCTCCGTGCATGTGTGTGATATGTGTGTTGTGCATCAGTGCATGGTGTGTTGGGTCTGTTGAACATAAGACCAGCGAGAGAGAGGAAGAGCTGCAGAAAGAGAGCAGAGGAGCTCGGCGAGCTTGAGCATGGAGTTTACATGGCCTTGTGCTGGGAGGGGGAAGATGAGTACATGTGGTGGTGTGAGTGTTTGTCGCTGGCGTAGCAGCAGTAAGCACAGAATGGGAGGCGGTCGGCAACTGGGTTGGACAGGTGGATTTGGGCAATGATGGGAAGGTATGTGTAGAAAATAAGCGGAATAGGTTGAGGTCAGGTGG